GTTGGCGTGGGCCAGCATGTTTTTTTGCGCACCCGCATGGCTCTGAGTGAACAAGAGGGCAAAGATCAGATCAACGCCTTCCCACTCTCTCAGTACTGTTGGCATCTCCTTGGGCCAAAACGCTATCACACATTTCATTATTGCTGTGCAGCGAGAGAGAACAGAGACAGAGGCAAATTGTTTACACAAGCGACGCGAGTGCAAGGCAGGCGCAGTCACTTCGCTCCGCGGAGCGAAGTGGCTGCCCACATAAAACAAATTGCCTGAACTTTTCGTATGACAAACCTGGGACGAGGTGGTCAAGAATTATTACGATTGCGCCAGGTCCACTTTCTGGACTTTCTATCACAGAGTTTCTCCCCCTTGAACCTGGGAGCGGAGCGCAGGAACCCGTTAGCATGGACCTAGAATTGTGACCGCTCACATTACAACCTTGGTATTGAAAACGGCGGTAAAGACAGGTGATAGCTATCACCCAGTTAGTCCTGAATCGCAGAGTTATGTTTTTCCGGGCCGGTGTTAAAATGAAAGCTTTCCCTTTCGCATATAGAGATAGTATATCCATTTAGCAGCATATTTCAACAGAGACCAAAAAGTTATAACTAATGAAAAGGCTCTTTATTTAGACTGCATTTTAGTTGTATTTGAACACCTATATGTCTCGTATGTAGAAAGTTTCACTTGGGGTACTTTTCAAAAGTTTTATATAATCATCTACAGTAGACTAAATGGCTATTTTATTTGCTATCGCTTCATGCAGAAGAAACATTTTCTACATTACTGTCGTTTGCGTAGTGCAAGTTTTTGGGATTATGTAATCCTTATGGGTTATCCTTACTGAAAATCGTATTTAAATCAGACTGCCAAAGGCAAAAGACGAACCCTATGCCTGCTAGCCAGTAGAAACCCCAGCCTGCCTCCTTCATGCGGCTCGACTCCAATTGCAACACATAGCAATAATAGTATCTACTTTGCTGAGCCACAACAGTGGTCTGTCTGTGATCGGTGGTACATTTTTAGCATTTCCAGCGTGTAAGTTAATTAAAAAGGACCGACACAGGCGGCAAAACCCCTGGGCACAGGTGAACGCGTGCGGACGCAAACCGGAGCAGCGGCAGCGAGCAGCGGTTCTTCTAGTGCTGGCTACGCGTAGCTCTGTCTTTGATGTTTAGTGGCTGTGCACGCCCGTTTGGAAATGCGGGCACAGTCAGGTAAACATGCATGGATGGCTGCCGCTTCTTCCTCAGCACAGGTTAATTGTGCGTTAAGGCGCGATTAGTAGTAGTAGTAGTAGCAGTAGTTTTTCTTCTCTTCCCCACTTCACCTGCCTTATCCTCTCCCAACTTCTGCTGCTGCTGCCGACATTGCATTTGCGATAAAGTGGTGGGATATAGGTGAAAGTAATCGCAGGAAATTAAGGCTCCCGATGGTCTCGCTGGTACTATAACTGACCTTTCATTTTTCTCGTCTTCCAGTCACCGGAATCCTCACTGCTTCCGCAATGTAACCAAGCAGGGTTGGTTTAGGAGTACGTGTGTAAGCCCTCGCCTTTGTGATTTAATCAACGTCCGGTAAGACAGGGGAATGGGATCCTCCGCTTTAAAACAGGTTGCCTTGTGCTAATTTATAGGACAGGATACATCTTTTTCCGCCCTAGTCCTAATCTCCCTGGAATTCGGTAAAGCGCTTTTTGTATTATGAGAAGGCTCCTATTCAAGTGCTTTACCTCACGTCCATCTCACCGCGGTGGACCCTAGCTACCAAATACGAGTAAAGCACCCCATCTATCAACTCTTCGCTCTGTCTGTGTTGGATACTGTGTTCGCAATAAGAAACCAGGAAATTAGCAGGAACCGTTGCCCTCTGACTCCCAGTTCACTCATCAGCCACTAAACGCGATGCACGCTGGGCTGATGGTTTGCCCTGTCCCATCTCCGGTTCACTTGACTTTCTCTTGACATTTGGCTCAGGTGAGGGAGGGAGAGCGTGCGGTAGATGCTGTGCAAGTCCCCTATCGCTTAAAACTAACTGACGCGCAAATCACCATTCCTGACTACCCTGTTGTGGAGCATACGGTGGATATATGGTCTGTTTCCTCGCATTGTGGAAACATCCCCCGTACTATTGAGAAACTGCAACGAAACCAACGTCACTCCACTCGGTTGAAAAACAGAACCGGTGCATTACCCTAGTTCTATCTTGCCTGTCGCTACTAGCTGCTAGAGGACATCTGACAGGACAGTTACCGCACAGCCGCAAAAGTGTCTCAAGTGCTCACGTTGGCTGAACTTTTCTAACTAGTGTTTACCGAGGTTTTACGTGTCTTTAAACACAGTATCAGCCAGTGTTTAATATATCCTCTAAATGTATGCTTGCTTTTGCTAGTGCCACAGATTCATAAATCCTTTGATTTAAACGTGTTACGTTTGCTCAATTGGGCAAGGAGCGCCAACCTTAAGGAACACACTAGATAGGATTGGGGTTAGTGTTAGGGCTAGATCGGCGCGCAGATAGTAGTGGATAGGTAAGTGTGTAATACGATCTAATTCAGCTCGTTTGAAAAATAACGGTGGGCATATAACATTTTTTCCATTGCCGACGCGTTGCCGCCTTTTCCATCCTTCAAACTGCCCTATCCCCCATTGCCACCATTCCCGTACTGCATGCCTCCTTATCGATTGTGTTCGATAGAAGAGCCGTACATTCATTCGCTGCCCGCAATTCTTATTTTTAAGTAGATAGGAGTCGCTAAATGTGCCCATCCCTGCACAAACTGTCGGTTAATGGGAGCAAGTGATGGAGCTCTCAGTCATCCTTTTGGACTCTAAAAATAGCCCGCACGTCACGGCACATACGGTGCTGAGACAGTTTGGCACACATAACCCCTGCTGTATATGGGTTTCCTCAGCTTCAGCTGCTGACGCAATAAATTGGCGGATTTGGGCTCTGCGCCGGAGGACCGATACTATTTCGTCCTCTTTTTGCCTGTCTGCCTGCCTGACAGCTTTTTTGTCCACAACGTCGAGGCGTGATAAATAGTACTTTGCAAACTGATTGTCTCTACGGTTGTCTTCGTCCCTTTCTTGTGCAAGGGACCATAAACTGTCCAAAAGTCTTCTATTAGAGTGTTTGGTTGTTGCGCTGATGTTGCCATCTCCATCTCTGTTTTCAGGGCGTGCTATCTCACAACAGGATCAGCAAAATTTGACGCTCATATTTGACATTTGCTCGACTGGGTGCTGTTGTCCCTATGTTGTAGAATTTACCAACGGTCAACTAGTTTGTCTCCATTCTAGCATACTTGTGACCCCTAGTGCTTGTGTCGGTTGTTTCATAATGTATTACCTGACCCGCTTGTATTTGGCAGGTCTGGTCCTGCGCTAGCTGTGCCAACGCGTGAGGCTAATCTTAATTCTTCTTTTGCCTGCCTCCCCCATCCCACATACGCTCAGCCTTCCAATGCGATGAGACAATCCGAGCTTACCTTCTGGCCCAACGCTACATCGAAGAACTGCAGAAATTCCTAGAGGACGCCAATTTAAAGGCCTCTCTACGCCTGGAGGCAGCTGTCCACTATTCCACCTCCTCGATCGCCGATTCACCCGCCACCACCCCCGGTTCCCCCATTGTTGACGTGTTTGCAACAGCACAAAAGTGTGACAATCGGCGTGTCGTCTCCGCGCTACCCCTCTCCTCCTCCGCCTCCGCCGCCCGCGTCGCTTCTCTGTCGCCTGTTGTGGCCCAGAAGTTGCCCAGCTTTCGGGCCTCCAACCACGATGATGTCTGTTCCAATGGTGGTTACTCTTCCGACCTGGAGGTGAGACTGCCTCATCAGCAGCAGCAACAGCAACAGCCCTGCAGCGGCATTCTGAAACCAACCAAGAAGACCAGCCTGCCTTGCCAGTTCTACCACCACCACCACCGCCAGCAGCAGCAACAACAGCAGGAGCTCTCGATTAACCAGGAGGCAGACCAGACTGAGACGGCAGAGCAGGGGGAGGAGGCGGCTGCGGGCGAGCGGTGCGTCCGTGTCAAATTACAACAACCCGGGGAAG